GTGACTCCCGTTTCCTCGAACTCGCCGAACTCCTCCGCTCATTTGGTGTCACATCCATCCTCTGTTGCTGCTGTTGATGAATTTGGAATTCATTTGTTGCATTCAACTCGTTTGTCAGTTCTTGATCAGGTGATACAGGCGTCAGATCATAGTAGACGGCCACCACAGAGCCCTCCTCCGTTCCCAGTGGCCGGAGACAGGCTAATGCTGGAGGTGAAGGAAGAGGTAGTTGCGAATGCTTTTTCAAAGAAAAGAGCTTGACTGCAGCGTCGAGATCGGCACTTGGCATCAGCTGACTGAAGCTAACCCTACCGAAACGAGTGTGAAGACAGCAAGGGCACGGCCGTAGGGGCATCGACGCTGAATCGACTAGCCGTTCAACAGGAACTGTCCCCGTAAGTCGAGGTACAATCATCAACTGAGGAGACAGAGGTGATGCACATGGCTGTGCTAGAGCACTTTCATAACATACATCAGCTTCAGCCGTCGGTGGAGAATTGTGTGAAGAGAAAAAAAGGTGTGTACAACTGTCATTTTGGCTATTGCCATTGTCATGATTGCTAAGTCTAATGATGCGGTTATTTTGGTGACAGAGAGTCGGAGCCCAAAATAGGCCAGTGTGACTGCCGCCTAACATTAGGCCATTAGGAAGGGTCGAGAGTTCAGAAGGCGTCGGGCCGCGCCAAGGTGGTGGACACCAAATAGACGAAGCAGTCGTCCCAGTGCAACCATCGGCATTCAACTGGTTGATATTTAGAACGGATAAAGCATGTGCATTGAGTAGTGAGAGCGGAGATGGCGACGGCAGTGGCAAAGTCAAGGCGATTACTCGAAAGAGCTGGTTATCACGTTGGCGGAAGCGAAGGTGTCGGCGGTACTGACAGGCAATAACACTGCCTGCATGGCCAACCGGGACTATCCAACTCTGGCCACGCTCAAGTAGGCCGGAAACGGCAAAGCTAAATAAATATATTCAGAAGTATACTTTAGAAGATTTAGACTTGCAGCCCAAAAAAGATAGTGGGACTACATTTCTATATATATGGGCTGATTCAATATTATTTGGCAGGAATGTGTATGGCCTAGTGCATTAACAAATAAATCAACGAACTTAGCTTAGTCATTTTCTTGCGAGGATAGATGAATGAATACTATTAATAAATATGCTGCAGTAACTTCAGGTTCCCTATACAACAATTAAATAGCGTTTGTTGACACCTTGGTTAGAAATACGCAAAGTTATACAATGAAGGCAATAAATATGAATAAAAAAGCCAAATGAAAAGTAGGAGGAGGATTAAATAATGATATAAGTTGTTTGACTCTGTTTTCGAAACTTGGTCATATTGGTAGGAAGACTTAGAGGAAAGCACCTAGTCCATTTTACGCATGATAATTTCCGAAATCGGATCGTGGACGTGGTACATTCTCAGACTTTCGCCGGCATTGCCAGTGAGTCTTGTCATTCTTAGCACCATACTACAACTCTTCAGAGACAAGTGAAGCTGATCCTTTGACAAAACGTGTGATAAACAGTTGTGCTATCTCTCCTGTCATGGGCTTTTCATCTTTCCTATATCCTCGTATCACTTCTTCACTGTTACAACTTTTTCCGTGCTTATCTAAATGTAGTGTGCCCCTTTGAGCGGCTTTCATGAGAACACTCCACACTTCATGCAGGCGTTCTCAGCCCACTTCACCCTTGTGCTCAGAATGTTTATCAGAGTCTGCCAGTCCTCCTTCCATAGATCTTATCAGAGTCTCTCTCTTGCTCCGTAGAATCCATCTAAGCTCTCCCTGGCTCAAGTATTTCACTCGACCCATGCCACTCCATCTGTGCTCCACGAAGGGTTATTTCCCATACTCTGCGTCTGCTATACTAACTTGAGGCTAAAGAGCCCGAATAATTCTCATGGTCAAACTTTGCTACATGGAACATGACTATGGTAAAACAGGCCTACTGTCAGCCAACTAGTTTCAGTCTCCGTCGCGCCTATCCTGTTTCTATCCGTAATACGAAGTTTATGACTTGATATTCCCTAGTCTCTTTTGTGCCAACCAACAAATGTTGTGGTACTGCTTGATTTGATCAGGTTTAATGTTGAACCACAATGATTGTGGGTTGGCAGACAAGAGACAAGGGCATAGCGCGTCCTAGACTTGGTATTACGGATAGAAACTGGATAGACACAACGGAGACTGGAGCTAGTTGGCTGACAGTAGGCCTGTTATACCATAGACGTGGTCCATGTAAAAAAGACTAGACCATTAGACTTACTCAGAGGATTTAGCCTCGAATTAGTCACCCAAACGCAGAGGAGGAGTAATAATGCGTAGAGTAGTAGATATAGGGTAGCAGGGATCGAGTGTAATACTCGAACAAAGGAAATAGCAGACGGATTCTACAAGGCAAGAGGGAGACTATGATAAGACTTAGGAAAGGAGGACTGCGTAACAATATGGCATAATCTTATCATCATTCCCAGCACAAGGGTGAAGTGGGGTGAGAACACTTGTGTGGAGTGTGGAATGTTCTCATAAAAGCCGCTCAAAATGGCACACAACACTACATTTAAATAAGCCCGGAAAATTGTAGCAGTGAAGGCGTGATACGAAGCGGAAGCGAAGGTGTCGGCGGTACTGACAGGCAATAACACTGCCTGTGTGGCCAACCGGGACTATCCAACTCTGGCCACGCTCAAGTAGGCCGGAAACGGCAAAGCTAAATAAATATATTCAGAAGTATACTTTAGAAGATTTAGACTTGCAGCCCAAAAAAGATAGCCCAAAGATGAATAGCGGATGCCAGAAGGAGAGTTACCACAAATGTTTAGCACACGATTAGTCAAAGAATCGGCTTCACTTGTCTCTAAAGAGTTGTAGTATGGTGCTAAGAATGACAAGACTAACTGACAATGCCGGCGAAAGTCTGGGAATGTACCACGTTCATGGTCCGACATTAGAAATTATTATGCATACAATGGACTCCGGACTAGGTGCATTCCTCTAAGTCTTCCTACCAATATGACCAAGTTGCGAAAACAAGGCGAGATAACTTCTATACAATGAAAGGAGACTGCGACCACACAAAAGGTCACACCATCTTGGTCTTCATATCTTAGACTAAATAATTATAATTTATATTCAATAGAACCGGTCACTTCTCCTCAGTTTTATATCCAAATATTCAAGTTGAGAACAATAAAATCAAGATGCGTTCAGCTCGAGTTGCTTTCGAGGAGATTTTACAATTCATAGCAGATGCTCGATAAAACACTGAAAAAAATCGGCTAGAAAAGAACTAGTTCAGCAATTAAGTTCGAGAACTCACTCTTGCTAAATTAAGTACTTTATGCTATCATGAGGATTTTGTTAATCAGAAAACAATATTCACTATAGATATGTGCTCGTCTTTGCGCTCCCATGTCTTGTATATAAGAGTGAAAGTTACAAGCAAAGATTTCGATGTGAGAAACACTTGACGATGCTGGAGTGTGGTGTTGGGGTAAGAGGGCAGCATGTGGTCACAAAGTTAAGACGACGGTACAAGGCGAGGCAATCGGAGGCACCATTTTTAGGTCGAGCTAGTTTTCGACTTAAAATACTCTTGTGTACCTTTAGTGCAATGTTCTGATTAACTCAAAGGAGAGGCCCGATGTGGTGACTAGATTTGCCTGGTCCCCGTGGAACACAATGCCGGTAAGTCATGCTCCGCTTGGTGTTGCATGAATCGGGAGATGGCCGTAAAATGTAGCCAAACTGATTGCAGGGTAAGGCCACTACAAGAACTTATAAAAGAATTATGGCTCAATGACCTCAATCGAATGCAAATAAATTGTAATTGATAAATCCTTCGATTTATATAATGGACAACGTATTTCCCCATATCATTCATTATGTTGAGTTACCTTAGAAATATAGTTATGCATTAGTAACCGGACGTTTTTGAAACATTATGCTGAAAACATTCTTATCAAGACAGACCAGAATGAGATATGTCATGGCTAATCAGTATATCTTGTTAAAGCTCGATTCAAAATTATATAATATTAGCAAATTTATCTCTCAACATATTATGAGTCCAGTTAAATAATTTTTGGTGGATTAACTGCTCTGAAAAGGCGAATCTTGGAGCTTATAGTAAAGCGAGGTAATAAAAATAATATACAAAAGGAAGGCTATGATAAAACGATAAAACATAATTAAATGGTCAATTAAATTAGAAAATATATCTGATATAATTATTAAAGACATTTAACATCAAATTAAATTAAAAATAAGTGTCATATGTATGAGAGCATAAAATTACACTGCAGTTTATATTCTGAATGAATTTATAATAAAGTTAAGGAGCCTTGGGCACGATACATTAAGAGAAGGTATCAATTTAAGCTATACTATCAGCTTAATTTTATGCCCACTTTGAATAGTATCTGTATTTCGTAAAAAATGCAAAGATCAATTGCTTTAAGGAATTTAAAATATGTGCAAAAGGCAACTCAGCTAAGGTAATTTTTTATCATGCAGAATTACAGATAATTATAGAACAAAATCCAGAAGTAACATTAAACTACAACTTAAATGAACGCGCACATAGGCAAAAAAGATATATAAATTTTGGACGAGGGAGCTCTCAAATCAAACCAACCAAACACAAAAAAATGGTGATGAATGAAGCGATAAAACTAGTCCTATGAAAATTCTAGATGAATTCGTGCACGGATAATTGAGTGACAGACAATCGAAACAATACATAGGGCGGATGATGAACGTTTGGCAGGGCATCAATATAGATTAATTAAATTAACGAAATATTAAAGGATCAAATAAGATGAATTCCAATGTCTAGTTGGGCAAAATGGCCTAAATAAATATCCTTATTATTTAGGTTATCGATAGAACTATGCCAGGTGTGCATCTTGGAGAGTCAATAGAATGATATAGAAACAATAAGATCCATCATACTTGCTGATTTCAGAGAAAAATCAAATATTACGAGTTATAATAATTTTATAACTTAAATTTTTTTAATTAATATGGCAGAAATATGAGCCAATGAAATTAAACCTGGGCAATGGAAGCAGGAGCGCATCAGGAAGAAGCGTAAATCCGATTCTCAAATCCCCACTCCATCCTAGCTGTGTTTCAAGAATTTCAACAGCGACAATGCAGCCTGGAGGGACTATTTCCTTAGAAATAACAAGGCCATTGCAGAATCCGGTTCGCCGATGGGCTTTGGTACAATTGCATGACAAATGAACGTAACGCCCTTTACGCTCAGAATCGAAAATTATATTGGAACCAGGTCTATCAAAGGTATAATAATCCCTGATATCCAATAAAGTCATAGGTATAAAGAAGGCAATCAATTAACTGAGATAAAATAGGTAAGCCCAAACATGTGCGGTGTTCACGATTATATTAGCCGCTACTTAAGAGATAGCGAAAACAATTATAATAATTTTATCAAGACGTAATAAGAAGATAATTGCAAAAAAATTTTAACCATATGTTTTAATTACAAAGGAATTCGTTCAATAAATTTAATTCTATTTTAATAAACAATATTTTATTAGTGTTTTTTAATTTGCAGCATTTATCATTTACTAATGTTCCAAAAATCTTAATTGCTAAGTTTATTTCCATTTGATGTAGAAGTTTTTTATCAAACGATTCTAAGGTCAATCCCGCCAGAAGAAAAATGCAGACTCCTCTCGGTCAGCTTTACTGAAGCATATTTGTTGACCGTGTAAGATCGACCTTCGAATCACTTCAATAACAAGATCGTTTAAAATAGAAGTAAGCTCAGTATTCCTTAAAATATAACTTTTCTTAGGAAAAAAATATACGTTTAGATGAGTCAAAGGGATTTGCACTTCGGAACCACCGGAAGCCAAATAAGGATCAGCTTGGAGAGAAGGCTCTAAATTGTTCAGGTTTGACAGTCTAATGATTCCGAAGGATCTATGCTGAGTTTTTGTCTTTCAGCTGAAAGACATTATGAGGTATACAAACCACATTCTACGGAAAACTTGGTCAACACAGAGGAATGGTTGCCCAACTATAAAGTTGCTCACTACCTTTAATTAATTTTACAACAATGTAGGGATATCCTTTGATTTGGTTAGTCACGAAGACTAAATGGATTTGGATGGCTCTCCAGAGATAACATCTTTGGATAGAATTTCATTTCACATGAAATTGGATGAGGAAGAAATTCGAAGATCGATCTCACTAGGAGAGGACGACTGACTCCCCTTGTGTTGCAGCTGTTTGGCTTTAATACTACGTTCAGATTGACGCAATCCACGAGAAATCCTCATTCGCTTCAGGGGAAAACGGGCTGGGATTTGTCCATCAAGCTCGACAGCATCAGAGCTGGAACTCATTCTTGCAAGTTTCAAGTTAACATTAGGTCAAGAAGACTATCTGGTTCTATCTTACCTATTATTTAGACTCAATTCAGCAAAAGAAAATGAATATGCGTAGATAGATATAGAACAGTTTAGCTAATTATCTTTCGGGTTGGTACTTTCATTCGAGTGTTTGTGGATGTTTGTGTTTTAACGTTTATAAGCA